AATATCATTATCACATTATTTATGGTCAAATATGTTTTGGATTTTGAATAACATATTACTGAATATTGGTGCTTACATAAGAGAACACTAGAACATTTTGAGAGACGATTGCTTATATGTACATTGGTTTTAAATATACATGAATTGAGTTCTTTAATGTTCATTTCACTCAGGTAGCACACAGTAGTTACATAGTAACTATAAGTATAATTAGAGATATCTACAAAGTGAATATTAGTAAATGAATAAAGTAAATTTCACTTTTAATTATAACAATCATAAGTCATAAATCAATAAGCAATCATTCCTTACTATATTTTTATCACGTTTCTGTCTTTATCACAGCGTTTAAAGCTGTAGTCTCAAGCGCTAACTGATCTGACTAAGAACAGATGTAGCTGAAAGGTTTGTCTCTTGTGGCACACCATAAATACAACAGATTTTCCATCATCCTCATGGAGCTTTATCTCTTAAATCTACATCATTACCATGATACCCAGAGTAATACTAGCAGTATTCTGTGTAAACTTTGGTGCAATGCCAGGTAGTCCCAATGCCAGGCCAGCCACAAGTATTTGTGACTTCACCAGGCCTGGAGATCGGTGACCTAACGTTCATCCATCATGTTCATCATGTTTCACCTGCACACACAGCTTCACAGGACCATCAAGGGGGAAGCAGAGGAGATGGGCCGGAGGAGTCTTTACGTGTTTTATTTGGAAACCTGAGCCCTTGCCGGTAATTGCCCAAAATGACTCTAATCGTAATTGACGGTCTGGCTTTCTACTTTGTCTGCACATATTTCCAGGACGACGGGGGCTACGGTAACTCTGTTAAAAGTCTGGACGTAGAAAGGCACACACTCTTTATCCATCAGAGCGGGACTTAATGTCTGTCCTCCCTTTTGTCCTTTAGCTATCCTGCTCTTGTTGGGCCGAGTCCTCTGCGTGTGTGTGCATGTGTGTGATGATGTAGTTGGCCATTAAGCCAGACTGAGGAGGAGGATAGTGTTCCTGAGGGGAGAGGTGGTGATTTCTGGCAGCTGTTTCGGCGTTGACAAGCTTGACGCGTTCCTCGTTTCTGACACACACGTCATTCACACACACACACACACTCCTCAGAACAGAGCAGGGAAAATGAGCTGGATGCAGTTCGGTACACATATATTGACATTATTTTGCTCTCTGTTGTTAAACTGTAAATTTGCATGGTATGCATACTTGGAATGGTGTGTTTCTCATTTGGCATGGCGCAAAATGAAGTGAAAATAGATTTTGGTTGATTTTCCAACCACAGTTTTAGAGAGGGCACTTCAGTGGAGAAAAATCAGCCTAAGACAAGTTAAGACTCATTCATTTTTTATCTAAAATTACATTTTGGTACCACTTTAAGTGGCGGGCACACCACCAAGCTGTACTGACATTTACATAAAGAGACTCTCTTGCATTAGTTTCCTTCTGTGTGTGCACTGATGATGCACATAAAGATGTGAATCAAAGTACTTTTGCTGGAGGACCCACATTTTATAAGCGCATTTTTACTGGTTTTGTGTTTCAGATTGTGTTCCTGGCCGAAGGGTCTGTACCTGGCTCGTGGCCGGCTCCGGTGGCCAGGGCAGGCATGGCTCCTGCCGGCTGCTTCCTGGTTCCCCTCAGGCTGTGGAAAATGGCAGTGGGGCGTCAGAGTAGTGAGTTCCTCGGCAGCTCTCCCCAGGGACCAGCTGAATCTGAGGACAGGCTTTATGCCATGGAGCCCTGCAAGAGAACAGGATTTTAGAACCTACATGTCAAATGGCAGAATGTCCACATGCACGCGTGTGTCAGTCAGATACTGTATGTTTGAGTGTGTGTTATGGGATCTTGTAGCCACCCGTAGCCATGGATATGAATATCTTACGTTCTAGCAAATATATGTATTTGAGTGTAGGTGAGCCAACAATTGAAGGTGAATGGCTCACTGAGAGTGTGTGTGTTGTACAGTACTTTCACAGTTGACTCTGGGTGTTTACAACCCAACACTTTTTTCCTAAGCTGCTGAACATCCTGCTTTGTACATGAGCCAACATCACCTCACCCGGCGCCCACATTCACTCAGAGACACACATGCAACACATACAGCTAGCCCACACTTT